AAAGAAAGAAAGAAAGAAAGAAAGAAAGAAAGAAAGAAAGAAAGAAAACAACCTAAAGAAAACTGAGCAAATTCTGAAGAATTATCTGCAGCACAGCAGCACTCATTAACATCTGTCAACCTGTGAACACTGCAGTTCTGTATCTGTTCTAATTGTGCAAGTTTGTTCATGTGAACTGGTAGTAAAAACATGAATATGTAATGGAAAAACCAGAAGAGGTGTCTAAAACTTTATGTTAGTGAAAGCAGACATTTTTATCTGAAGTTTCTTTTGTGCAAAGATAATTCATGTATATTATTCATTATGCTCTAAGCATTAAAGCTAAAAAACACAGAACTACAATCTTCCCTTTAAAGAGACTACAGTGTCCCAACTCAGTCCTGTGAGTTTATATTCCCTAGGGACATAAATGCCACTAAAATGTTATTTGTAGATTCTGGGAGAGGGAGGCAGGCTTGCACACAGAGCTGTATGTTGCTTAGTCTTGATGGTGGAAAGATTATTGATACGTGTGGACTTTGTTCTGAAGCAGTGGCTTTATTTACAGAAAAGAAATGATAGAGTAAGAACAGTGTTCTAGAAGAAAAACCCAGCCAAAGTGTGTAGGGTAACAATCAAAGAAGACGGCCCTACCAAGCAGGGATAATGCTGTTGGCACAGTTCCATTATTAAAGACAGAAAGAAAAATAGGGTGGTCCCCCATGTTGAATTCCAAAACCATAAATTCAGGGATTGACAGTAGTGCCTTGCCCTTGTGACCAGACCATGATTGAGAGACCTATAAATTGTGGAGTCCAAAGCATGAGCGACAAGCTGTTAACAACATGGAGGCAGAAAATCCCTCCCATAGAGAAGAAGCTTAAAGTAAAGTAGTCAGGGCATAGCAGAGTAGACTAGCCATCCAACTTTGGTACTCTCTGTTGTCTGCTTGTCTGTCTATCATCTGTCTATCCACCTCATCTTTCTCTACATATATATGTGTCTGTGTATAGTTATATAAATGTATAATCACATCTGTATTTATATTCTAATGTTCTTCTACACATTACTTCAAAATATAAGAAGTCAAGAAGATTCTTAATTAAACATTTAATTAACCATGTTCCAGGACACCATTATATTCAATATGACATCTAAAGATGAATGAGATAAGATCTAACTCCACAAAGGTTATACTTTCTAGGGAAACACCAATATACCTAAAACATTATTGCAGACTCTGGAATAGGAACTCAGCCATGTATACACCTTTAATCAAGAGTGGCCTCCTGCTGTCTTCTTCTACACACTTCACAAAGCCCTAGCATGATCCAACTCAGCTCACAAGCCCAGGAATACAATTTTCTACACAGGGTGCTGTTGTTCTCCTTGCTACTCTTTATTCTACTGCTCTCAATCCCACCCACCTTTTAAAAAACAGAAGGATAATCCCTACAAGGATAAGCCCTACATCCCCAGGAAGTTCCCCCACACTAATGAAAGGAGATTGGCTTAAACAGGAAAGCTCCTAAGAGCACAGAATGAGATTAGGCACTAAGATAGCAGACTCAATTAATGTTAAGAAAAGACTGTGGCTCTCTCAGCAGGCTTTCATGTAATGGAGGTGACTCACAGTCTGTCCTTTGGATTGACAGAAACCTTAACTAAACTATGATGCTTGCAAATCTTGCTCTGTTGACGCCTCTTAGGCTCGAAGAGAAGCGAACATGTAAGAAAGAAGCTGCTATACACTCAGTGGTGCTCACTGAAATGTGCCAGGAGACATGCCTTCATAGAACATCGTTACTCATAGGTGAGGAGGAAATATCCTTGCTCTGACACTGGGTTTTGAGGAGGATAAGAATCTGGTTCCATGAAAAAGCCCAATGAAGTCAAGTGATGGGCCAATGAGATAAGCTCAGTGACTAAGCATCAGACCATGAGGTCACAAGAGTCCAAGACTATTGAGGGAGAAAAGCAAATCTCAGCAGTTAATTTTTCTCTGCACTAGGCCAGCAGTACCAGGATCCTGCAGTTACCTGAGGTTTCTTCACCTTAATGATCCAGGTGGGTGGGACAATAACAGCAGCATGAGCCCCCAGGGAGCAGGGTTCCTCAATATGATGCAGCATGAAGCAGGTCACCTTATTGTGAAACTGAAGAGAAAAATAGGCTAATAAGCAATTCTGAGTAAAACGTAATTCACAGCAAGAAGGGAGAAGTGTGAGCACACACACACACTTGCACAGAATCACACACGCACACACAAGCATACATCAAGAACACAGGCATCTCATCAGCATTCAAGCAGCCCAGGAGTTTAGAGACTGGAGTGATTCTATTCAATGCAGTGTACACATAACAGTTGTTAACAGGAGCCTAGCAGGATGAAGCCTGCGAAGGCATTCTAACTGTTTAATGGACTATTTACTTACAGATCCTGAGTATTGAAGGCTCTACCAATCTAACTATGCACAAAAACCATAGAAAGGAAAATGAAGACATTTGGGAAGGCAATGCCCACCATCTCCTGCTTTTTTGTTTCTACCATAGTTGTAAATCCTCCCCAGTAATTGTTCCAGTTTAGGGAGCCAGGAATAATCAAGAGGTCTCTTCTAGAAAGCTGTTAATCTCAGTGGTTACAAAACACAAAAAGATTGCTTCTACTGGGCTTATCTAGAGTTCTTAAAAATACAGTGGCTCTGTTATACTCGATGGACCTGAGCAGCTTGTTCATTACAGGAAGGAAGGAAGCATAAACTATTAACAGTCACCACAATGCCCCAGTGTGACTGAGGGGCTTAACTCACCACTCTGTTGTGAGGCTGGCTCTGTGACCTCACTCTAATCACATTTCAATCACCTTTTGGCTGTGAGGTGATAGTCATGTGTGAGAATATTTCATTTCTAATAAACACAAAATTAGCTTATGCAATAATTAAAGGACTTAAGTTCTAATCATGGGGACTTTTATTTAAATTAGATCGAACTTGAATTGTACTTATTGTGACCAATGCACAATTCACCATTTCAACTGGAGCTATTTAAGAGTGAAAGAGACCACTGATAATAACAATGTTGGGGAAAACAGACATCAATTAGAGCTGTCTGAGGAAAACTGGCAAACATAGCCATTCTAATTTTATTCTATGCTATCACAAGGATTTTCTTTTTATTTCTACATATTGTCAAGATCTCCTGTGACCCAGTAGCTAATTTATATCAATTAAGGATAAAATACTAATGAAATAATTAATAATTCAACATGCCATCCATTATTTGGAATCTGCAATCAAATTAAACAAGAGGAATGCCACACCACAAAAATATTTGAATACTTCCTTTCAAAATGATTGGTTTTTTTAAGCAAATCAAATTAAACCCCAATGCATGCCCATTGCATTTCTGCAATGTCAAAGGCTTCCAACATTGCCTAAGCAACTCTTTTAACTTGTACTTGTGTCATCTACAAGCTATAGACTAAGAGATACAGTCAAGACTGCAAATCTTTAAATGTTGGAGCAGAGACATACATAGGAAACCCAGCTCCATAGCCCAAGATTTTCTTCCTGCATCATAAAAAGGTCAATTATTTGACAGCAAATTCCCTGGAAGAAATTAGTTGTACTGTTAAAATATATCAAGACTGTAATCTGTGTGAATATATTTTGCATATAAGACCTTGAAAAGTCAACTTCCATACTTCCCGGGATATTAAAATTATGTGAAATTGGCCAAAGCTCTACCTCAATGGTCAAGTGAAAAGCCACTCTTTGTTGTGACTCAGTTAGATCACAGATTAATGAAGAGAATATGGGTGCTTATTTTAAAAGTGTTCCAAATTAGCTGACATCTCAACAAGATATCTCACTCCAGGGTCATAGGAACAGCAGTCTATCAAAACACCTGCTGTGATGCTGTCTGAACTTTCCGGACCAGTGAGCCCATACCTAATAACTGGAGGCTCTTGACAAATGAAGACCTGGGGAAATTATGCTAGTGAGCCTATTACGTTGGATCTTATAGACACACTATAATGCAAAGAGTTTGACCCACAAAAATGTTAACTGCAGTTCTTTCAAACTAAATCTATTCCAGCTCTGTTGCTGGTTTGGGGAGTTGATTCTGCTGTGTGTAGACCTGTGAACCTTTAATCTAGCTAACAGAAAACAGACTTTCTTTTTAGGTCTTCTTTATAATAAATGGGTGATATATTTCTATCTACACAGACACTCAGAAAAGTAGATGGAATGCTGATATGCTAATGCAGGCATATAATCCTAGCATTCAGGTGGCTTAGGCAGGAGGATCACAAACAAAAGGATAGGATATTCTACAAAGCAAGACTCTATCTTAAAAAAACAAAGAATAGATAGACTTGAGAGACTAGAGGAAGGGTTAACAAACTGTTTCTGTAAAGGCCTACTTGTGTTGAAATACTCAAGTCATCATTGAAATATTAACAAAGTTACAGATAATTCATAAATAACTGGGTATGCTGCAATTATTATATATAAAAAGTGGTAGCCATATTTAGCCCTGATGCTATAGTTTGCCAACTGTGTTAGAGTGAGATAAAAAGCAGGTGTAGAGGCAAGCAAATAAGAAAGTGCAGGGTCTATTTTGGATAGAGGGGTCAAGTGCTTTTAAGAATAGATAAGATGGAAGATTTAAAACAAAAAGAGTAAACGGGACATTATCATGAGATCTTAATGAATAGACACAGTCAAATGTAAGGAAGGGCGATATTTTAGTGGGCACATGGATAGCTACAAAAAAAAATCTAAACCTAAAAAGAACACAAGAGATATTCATTCTTCACAGCCCCCATAACAAAGCCACCCACATGAAGACCAGGAGAACGAATATGCCTGGACTCCTGTGTTACAGACTTCACTCGAGGCTTCCCATGTTGAATTTGGTATGATGAGGACTCCTTAGCAGTCTAGTGGACAGGGAAGACATGTGGGTGCTCAACGGAAAGGAGCACTAGATTCCAGTCCCAGGGTGAATCAGGAAGGGTTTCTGAGTTATACAAAAAAGTAAATTTTTTCTCTGTTTTTTTCCCCTACTTATATTTACTTTTCTATAATTTTATTCTCTTTCTTCTTCTAAGACTGCTATCTGAGAAATTTGAATTGAGTTAGAGTAGTATCCCACATATAGCGAGAAACCCAAGCACTGAAGCCACCAGTTCTGGTCACATGTGAGCCCGTGCTGCTTATTTCAGCCTTACTTACCGCCTGCTTGCACCAAGAGCAGCTGATGGCCACAATCTCTTTACTGTGGAAGGAGAACTTTTGCTGGAAGCCCTGAGACAGTAGGACAAGAGACAGAGAGTTTAAACCTCCTTCATCATAGCCCACGTTTGCCCTCCTGAGGTTCACTGAAATGAAAGAGGCCAGAATTGTCATCCATTGCAATAGTAACCATTACTGCAAGTGCCACACAGCCTTATCCTCTCCACTTTCTGCCAGGCAGTGATTTTGATTTCTGAGCCATCTGGAGCATGAGACAAAGGAGGCAGTGGTGTCTCCCATACAACAAGCTTTTCTAAGCCATCCGTACTAAAACAAGAGATTTTCCTTAAGAAAGGAAGTGTCTCATAGCTATACATAGATATGCACATAAAATAAATGTGTGCTCACAAATACCGTAAACCACATATTATAAACTATTTATATTTTAGTTTAAAAAGTCATTGTTTCACCTGGTCACATACTATAGAGACTATCTGAGAACTTGAGAAAACAGAAATTAAATATCAAAGATTTCAGGGTCTGGGAAAAGTCCAAGCTTAGAGTAATAAATTCAAAGACTTCCACCCTCTCCTTGGGATGTCTGTTCTCAAAACAGTCAGCTTTTCAGTTTCGTTCTTACCCAGCAAGCAGTAACAAAGAGTCAACTGCCAAAGAGTCTCCTTAGAGCAGTGGTTCTCACCCTTCCTAATTCTGTAACCTTCTAATACAGTTCCTCATGTTGTGGTGACCCCCCAACCACAAAATTATTTTCATTGCTACCTCATAATTGTAATTATGAATCATCATGTAATAGATAATATTCAGGACCCACAGGTTGAGAACCACTGCCTTAGATGAACCAGCAAACTGGCTCTTCCATCAAGAAAGGAAATCCTTCATAAGGAGAACACAATAATTCTCAAAAGAATCTTTTCTCAAATTCATCCATTTCACGTTTTCTGTGTAGCTTCCATGTCAAGTCTAAAAGACTCAGTCTTGCAGCAAACTTCCTGATCTTCTGGCTCTTACACTTGTTCTACAACCTCTTCCAAAATGTTCTCTGAGCCTTAAGTGTAGGGGTTGTAATTCAGATGTATCACTTGGGGCTGGACACCCCAGAGTGAATTGTTCTCTGCATTCTGACTAGTTGTGGCTTTCTGTGGTGGTCTACATCTGTGGTGAAAAAAAAGTGTCTTTGGTAGAGATGAGAGCTACCTTAACTCTGTATACAAAAGGAAGTATTTAGAATACAGTTAGAAATCATCACGGTTTAGGAAAGTGGCAGTGCTAGGCTTTCCTGTGAGACCTCTGACCGCACTAGTCCCAGGTAATTGGTTAGGTTTCCAGCACCAGGCATGATTTCCTTCCTCTTTAGTTGGTCTTAGGTCCAATGCAGGCAGCTGTTGGATTTCGGCAGCTGTTGGTTACCACCGAGATGTAAGTGCCACTATTCCACCTTTATGAATATGTTTCTGTGCTGACCATTGTTGTGATTGGGTAGGACTATTAAATGATTTTCTCCTTAAGCAACTTAATTAGCACCTTATGGTATTACAAAAGCTAATCCTCAAGGAGGAAGTTTTAAGTCAGATTGAGCTCAATTTCTGTCTAAAGTACTCAATGTCTTCAGCAATCGGAACTTACCTTCTACTTCTGGGAATAAATAAGGACAATAGATATAGCCTATATTGGCAGTCTTTCAGATCTCCATGACCAACAACTCTAAAGGAGACTTCTCATGCCTGATGCTCTATGGCTCTTGGGTGTGACATTATCACCCTAAGTGACATAATTTCATTTAAACTGTGTGTGTACACATGGACTTATATGTATTATATGTAAATTTTGATAAATAAAAAATAACAATTCCTTATGGCTTTTTCAGGCATGATTAGTGGAATTGTGTTATTATTCCTTACTCCCTCCCTCTCCTATATTGGCCTCCACAAAAAAGCCCCTCCCACCAAGGTAATAAAAAAGGGAGAAAAGAAGAAACTGCAAATATGACTTCTTAACTTGGATTTGTAAGACTCTCTTGGCTTTGTAATGATTTCTACATAACAATCAACAACAGTGATAATGTTTTTGCTCACTGTTCAGGGAAGAGTTAACTACCCTTAGAGCGGCTCCTATCCTTACGAAAAGTGCTTACAAAATTGGCTCAGGACTAGAATCTGGCATCTGACCCTTTAGGAGACTTTGTTCATTTCCCAGAACAATTTGAATGGCTCCTGGCTAATACTGTTCATGCTGAACTCTGCTTCCCTTCTGAGCATCTAGTATTTTGTTGTGTGTTATGCAAAAGATACTTAGACAAACAAGCTTCACTGAAGTCCCGGGGCAGAGAGTCTTGATGAGACAGGTAAATAATTTCATATGTGTTTCACAGCTGGGGGAACTTAGCATATTATATAGGACTCCAAGGGGGAGCTGGCAGTATCTGGTTTCTTCCAGACTTCCCTCTGTTTCCTTTTTTGCTGACCTTGCTTTGTATCTTTGTGTTATAATAAACCATAGTCAGGAGCTCTATATGCTGCCTTCTGCGAGCTCCCTTGTAAAGCAAAGCACCTCTGGTGATCTTCAGGACCCTGAAACAGCCTCTTGAGCTATGACTTGAAGAACCTCCTCCTGTCAACAGCAGTGGCTTTCCCCCAAGACAATATTGATTCTCTGTCACACGTGAATTGAAATATTGGACATCCATATACCCACAGCAATCACCATTCTACCTCCAGTGATAAAGTATCAAAACCCTGACAGGAATATTACGGAAAGAACACAAAATCTAATGGGCTACAGGATGAGGTGTACAAAGCTTTTCAAAAGCATCACACTCAGTATGTCCCAAAGAGGCCAAAATGGCTTTGCGTTGGAGACACTTGGAAAGTTCATTCAAGTTACTTTTGAGGGAGCAATAAAAGAAACAGATGGTGCATTTCTTCAGAGCTAGAGCAACAATTTTTGACACTGTCTGATGATAGTAACAAGTGTGTAGGAGAAAGTATAATAGAGCTAGGATGGGACAGAGCACAGGAGTTTCTCAGGCCCTGGACCCCACACCCATCATTTGGTGTGACCCATGCTGATGTGCTCCTGTTTTGACTTGTCTCTGTACCAACAGCTCCTCCCTCCTTCTTTACTGTCACAAGGTAAGCTGGTGTTCTTTCACCATGTACCTCCTGATCAAAGTCTTCAATGACACCTTTTTTTTTTTTTTAAAGAACAAACCATTCATTCAGGCATTTAGCATCTCCTATAATCCTTCCAATTAACTTTAGGTTGTTCCGTGTGTCTGTGTGCATGTGTATCTGTGTCTGTGTGCACATTTGTATGTGTGTGAGCACACGCATGTGTGAGCGCACATGTACATGGGTGCATGTGCGTCTGGAGGCCACAAGTTAACCGTAGGTGTCCTCCTCAGTCGTTCTCTACTTTATTTTCTGTGGCAGGGTCTCCCACTCAGCCTGGCACTTGCTGACTCAGCTAGTGGAGCTAGCCATCTTGGCCTAGGGATCACGGCTCTCTGCCTCCCCAGGGCTGGGATTACAAGCAGTCAGTCAAACTCACCCAGCTTTTATGTGGATGCTGGAGCTCCAAATTCTTCTACTCACAGTTGCATGGCAAGCACTTTATCCACTTTGCCATCTTCCCTTTCCCAGATCAAGATTTTGACATTAATATTCCACTCTTAGTGTAAACATGTCTACAAACTTAGATCGGTCTAATTCTATTCATGTCATGCCTTGTTCTTTTAAATTTACAACTCTGGGCCCATCCTCCTTCTTTATTCTCAACCAACCACCTAGAAAGCTGTCATCATTCTATATGCTGTATCTACATTTCAAATCCATGATAAAAAAAAAGTCCTCCCAGAAAAAAAAAAAAAAAGTCCTCCCAGGTCACTTCACTTTGCATGAATCTCTCCATTGGCTATGGGCTATGTCATCTGGATCTTACTCTTGCCATTGTTTAGTTGTCTTGAATTACTGGTGGTTTGATATGCTTGTCCCTCTGCAGTGAAACTGTAAGGTCCTGAAGTAGGCCACTCTGTAGTTCTTGGAAATTTAGAATAGTTCTTTAAATATGGGCACAGTGTACCCATTTTGTTATTAACCGAATGAGAAAGTTGCTGTTAGCACGTCTTAACTCAGCTATGAACATTGCGTTCTCCAAGCTTTAAACATCTTACTCAAAGTTATCTGAAACTATGCTTCCTCTCAGTAGCCTCACCCAAGGGGAAGACCAGCCCCTAGAGACAGTGCAAACATGCTGGATTTCTAAATTTCATCATAAGTGCTCAATAATGCAATGTTGTTTGTCAGATAGAAAAAGGTAAAATGTGTGGCATGATAGCACCTGGGACCTCACTGAGAGTTCTACTAAGCATTATGACCCAGGTTCCAGCTCCTCTGTTCATACAAATCAAATGGTTGTAGAAGAAGAGGGATGAAAAAGCTGAAAACAGTTCTTGGATCTTCTTATTGCTTAATTTGATTTTAGGCAATTCATAGACTTCTAACTGCTCTTTGAACACAAATTGCGAACAATTCAAAATCTCCTCCAATGGTGATAAGCATCAAATGACACAATCTATTGATTGTGACACAATCTATTGTTATAATACTACATATACACATATATGGGGATATCTGTGTATACACATGAAAGAATACTTTTACTGCTAAACCCTATCAGTGGGGCCCCCCTCTACCTCTTTTCCAAGAAAGCCTTCTCCTTTCTAAGGTCAGACTGGGTCCTACTCTATTCACTAATACAACTTGAGGGCATCCAGTTGCACCCCCCATTGTATTGCATACTAGCCTTGCAGCTTCACGAAGAAAACAGAGACACTCTACTGTGGTGCCGACAGCCACAGATACCCAAAACCAACAAGGCTAGTCACAACTAGGGCACCGAACATAATGGTTATATAGAACGCTGATGGGTCCCTAGGAAATGAGCTTCCTGGTAAACAGCTTGGTACTTTATTTTGGACGCTATTCTAGCACAGTCACAGAGACCATGGCTTCAGGGCTGTTATCTAATTCATAGACATAAACAGAACTAGTTCA